AAGACTTTATATATGGCTGAGTTTTTCCTCACCTGTGGCCCCTCAACTCTATTTTTATTTTTTAGCCATTTATTTACTACTCTTTCTGAAAAATTTCTCCTCCACTCTTCTTTCATTTTCTCTTTTTATTTTATTCATAGCATGTAACACCATCAGAAATGATTTGTTTATTGCCTACTTTTAATTATTCCTTACCCTCCTTGCCCTCCCCATCTCCTTGCCAATAGTGTAAGCTCAGGAAGGTAAGGCCCTTGTCTCCTTTGTTCACTCTGTATCCCCCTTAACTAGAAAAGTGTCTGGAATAAAGAATGCACTCAGTATATATCTGTTGAATAATTGAAGAATGAATGAATAATTGAGTGACTGATAAAAATGAGAATAGGTGCTTAGTTTATGAAGACAGAAATCTGCTTAAGTGAGTGAGATAGCTAAGACAAACAGGGAACCAAATGGATGGAACTAAATTAAATTCTTTGTTCCACTGTGTCTTTTCGTGTGATTTTGGACACATTTCTTAACCACAGTGTTTGTGTCTTTATTTGTAAGGCAGGCATGTAAAGTTCAGAGAGAGAGATAGATGAATGAGTCAGTGAAATGCCAGAGAGCCATCATTTTTACAAATGTGTCTCACTCAAGTAGGTTCTGGTTTTGAATAACAGACTTACTTATAGTATGTTCGCAATTTTTAAGGAAATATTATGACACACTAACAATTTAATGTCCTTGAAAAATTTGAAGTAAAAAAAGAAGGCTTGTATCAGAAAAAACATAAAAGTGTCCCTTCACAGTTTTAACATCCATTTTGGAGATATCTTTCCATGTTGCGCATTGGATTTGTAGTTAAAAAAAAAGATTGAAATAAAGATAGGAAAAAATATATGTTTGAAAAGCAAATCATGATATTTTTCCAAGAAAGGTGAGATTGTGCTTGATTTCAGATGATACTTAACAATTATTTTGTCTGTACCACTGTAGTCAGTAAGCTGAACTAAGTGTAATTACATACATAATCAACATAAATGTTTTAATAATTCTTCTACAAAAAGGCAAATAATCAGGCTTGCCAAAATCATGATCCATTTATTTAGTTTTTTAACGTATTTGTGAAGTGTCTTCTATGCGTCAGGTACTGTTATAGGTACATTGGGTTAAACACAGATTCCTGTTCTCCTAGGGCTTAAATTCTAGTGGCATGTTGTCTGTACTATACATTTTGCTTCTAGCTTGCTCCATAGCTTTTTATTTTTCTCCATTTATGAGGTATGATTTAATTGATAGATGAAATTTTTTGTGACTTTCAAAATAATCTAATTATTTTTGCTTACAATTAGCTACACAGTGTTATTTTAGGGTCATGTAATAAATACCAACATGATATTAATGTTTCAGAGACCATCTGGTTCTTGACACACATCTGTTCTGGAAATCTGGACAAGTAATTTAATTTGATGCAGCTGGAATCAGATCTGTAGGAACTGGGCTATTTCAAGCGAGAAGGAAAAGCCTTGGATCTGTTGGGACAATGGAATGTAGTGTGGATTGAAGTAGTCCACTTTGGCTCTACTTCTTTTATGCCACTTAAATTCCAGCATATATTCGATTCCACTATAGAAATGTGCATCTACTGGTATGTGTATTAGTTGGGGCGGCATCACTGTTTACTTCATACCTTTGTTTTCTATGAGTTTAATAATTGTAGAATTTATAACATACTTTTTCTTCCCACAGTAGTCCTTCATACTATTTTATTTACTCACATTTGAGCCTGTGGAGTAGAAAGAATGGATATTTCTCATCTAAAATAGTAACTTAAAAAATTGAAATCTCTTGTAGGGATTAAATGCACGTAGTAACAATTTTGGTAACTGGACTTGGTAGTTATAACTTGAAGCTTAGTGAACATTCCAATAAATATTGGTACTGTTGATATTGGTATTTTCTTGCTATCAGTTTTCACACAAGGATCCTCATTCATCAAATAACTATTACATTTTTGACTATGTACAAAGCACTCTGTAAGAAGCTGTGTGTGATATATAAAGATGAATAAGATACAGATCCTGTACTAAAGGGACCTACAATCTTGTTCATACCTTTAAAATTATTCTTAAATTGTAATAAATAGTTTTCCTCAAGTTAATGATTTAAGTCCCCTGGAATAATACTCTAAATCTTTGATAGAACTGTGACTAAGACATAAATATGTTGAAAATCAGCAAAACATCCCCTGCCCTTGGTTGTTTTCAATACTGAATGTTTTGGCATACATTTTGGTTTTTCTCCCTACATATCCCGTGAGAGTCCTAATGCTTTAGGTGTGTTGAGAATAGTTTAAAATAGTTTAGAAAGGAATTTATTCTTTCATGTATCTTTATATAGTGTTGTATAAGCCCAAGGAAAATTTCCTTGTCTTTGGTATCTGTAGAGATAATGACAGAGGAAAACAATAAATTAGTAAATGATAAGATTACTGTTCATTTTTATACTTAAAATTTATGAGAAATTTAAAGACAAGCATTATGACTTATTACATTGGAAGATAAATATTAAGTTATATAATAGAGCAAGCCATAAAAGCAGGTGGCTAGTACCTGTGTGTATTTGTAAGTATGTCCGTAATGATTAATCTACTAGTAGGGACAGTTTTTGGAAATTACCTCATTTGCTTAGACTATGTACAGCACTAATAATCCCAGTGTTGAGTAGTATAGGCCAAATTTTTAAACTCCTTGTTGTGGCATACAGAGTCTTTTAATAATTGACACCTGCTTACTTTTCCAGCCTTCTGCCTTACCATTTTCCTCCACTCTTAACTCTGCTTCTGTGCTCCAACTATTCTTATCTATTCCATGTTCTCTGTGTATCAAGATGAGCCTTACAGGAAGGCTTAGGGCATCATTCTCTGAGCTGCAGCCTGCAAATATTAATACCTACAATATGTGATTATCAAGAGAATGTTTGCCTTGAATCTGAGGCAGAACTTGGTGAAGAAAGACTTAAAAAAAATTTTTATGTACCTACCTTTGTGTTCCTTTTATTGACGTATAGATCAAATGACTGAATGGGGCTAAGATGAGACATTTGAATTATATAAGAGGCCAGTTACTCTTGCATAGCTTTTCTTCATGCTCCATAACCACAGCTTTGGTTCCTAGTTGACTCCTTATCCTCCTTGACATTGCAAAGAAAATGAGTATATGGTGTACAAATCAATCACTAGAGGAAAAAATACTATTCAAATTATATTTCTTAATTATGGAGAGAGAACATTATTTTATCTTATTAATTTATTTGTCCTCCAAAGGCTCTAATCTACTAAAAAAAATCACAA